GCTGTTCAGCATACATGTGCTACAATAACCTCAAAACCTACAAAGCCGATCAACCCTGCAATCATTAAACAAAACCTAAAAGCCCAGTAGAGCCTATACTTGCTATCAACCCTATAGACCCTACAAGGTAGGTGCCATTTGTGTAAGAACTAAATTCCCTGTAGGGGGCTCACTTGAGCCATTTACCAAGCGAGCTGCATGACCCGAAGCCCCAAAACCCTAATTTGGAGTTTGGGGCTGAAACCGACCCCCGCAAGCCCCAAAAATGCAAGGGCTTCCGATAATGGTCTATACCTAAGCCTAAACCCTACACCCTTAACCGTAAACCCTAAACCCTAAACCATTTATGGTGTTAGGGCATAGGCCGGCTGAGGGCTGGAAGCAAAATAAGCAGCAAGAAAACAGGGGCTTGCAAGCAGGTGCCCCGTTGGAACTGAATCACTAAACCCTAAATTACTAAATCTAATATCCTCAACCCTGAACCCTCCCTGTACCATGAGCGAAGCTGAAAGCTACAGGTTGAAGCAATAGAGAGGACTGCGGTCAGAGGTCCAGCCCCAACAAAATTCCATGAACCACCCTAAACCCTAAACCCCAAATCCCTGCACCCTACACCCTGAACCCTAAACCCTAAACCCCAAACCCTAAACTTGGACTATGGTGAGGCCCAGCCTCCAACAGCTTGCGCCGAAAAGTCTGCACGACCTGCAAGCAGATAAAGTGCAAGGATTTTGGGTTTAGGGTTGGGGGATAAGGGATTTTGGGCCTTAACCCTAAACCCTGAGCCCTAAACCCTAGACCCGAAACCCTAACCCCTAGTGAACCACAGAGAAAGACACCCAAGATAATGAAGGCAGGCAGCCCTTTCTCAAGGGATTATCGGATACCCTATTAATTTACAGGGTTTAGGGTTTAGGGTTTAGGGTTTAGGGTTTAGGGTTTAGGGTTTAGGGTTTAGGGTTTAGGGTTTAGGGTTTAGGGTTTAGGGTTTAGGGCTCAGCCCTAAACTGTGAACAACTGGACCATGAGCAAGGCTTTGAGGGCAAGCATACGCTGAAATGCGTGAACTGAGTGGCCGAAGCCTAAACCCTCCAAGCATCTTTCGCCTTAAGGTCCTTAAAGCCTAAACCCTTAGAGCCCTAATGTAGGGGCCTGAAAAGTTAGAATAGGGTTTGGGCTAGTATAGTAGAACGACAACGAGACCATAATGGAATATCATTAGTATAGATTTAGACCCCTATACTATAGGACCCGTTGCTCGACCAGCGGAGTCGGCCAACGTGGTGCAACTCTCCATTCGGGGATGTGCTCTGATCCAGGGTTCGTGCGTCGAGCGCTTTGGTCCGCAAAAATGCCCCAAACCCTGAATCCTAAACCCTAAAACCCTGAACCCTAAACCCTGAACCCTGAACCCTAAGCGACACACCTTCAGCGAAGTGGCCCACTCAGGAGGGAGCGGTGGTGCAATTCTTGCCCGCAGCTTAAACCATTGAACAGCAGGTCTTGAAGCTGTTTAGGGTTTAGGGTTTAGGGTTTAGGGTTTAGGGTTTAGGGTTTAGGGTTTAGGGTTTAGGGTTTAGGGTTGGCACTCATGCCTGCTTCTTGGGGCAAGATGGCAAGCACACCACAGAAACAATTGCAGCCGGCTTGGCTTGAATTCCTCATGAGTCGACACCTCGACGCGATCCTAACAGGTTTCTGGTTAGGGGATAGATAAGGAGTTTTAGGAGTTTACCCCCAACCCCTGTACCCTAAACCCTCAAAACCCCTAAAAGCCCCCAAACCCCAAACCCTAAACCCCAAACCCTAAACCCCAAGCCCTAAACCCTAAACTCCGCCCTCCCCCCGCCAACCGCCTCTGAGTTGAACCTGCCCTGCGCCAAAGGCTTCAGCCCGGAGATGATGTGCGAGTAGAGCTCGATCTCCTCCTTCGTAGCCAAGTAAACATTTTATGATAAGGGCACCCTGTTTTTTGGTTGGCTACTTTACAAGGGAACCCAGAAGCAAACAAAAAAAAAAAAGGTAAAGGGCACCACTGGGCTACAGAGCCTCCTGAGTCTTTCTGGGTTCTTAAGAGGGTTTGGAGCAGGTTCCCTGCTGGTTCGGGTTTAGGGTCTAGGGTGTAGGCTTTGGGGTTTAGGGTATAGGGTTTGGGGTTTAGGGTTCAGGGGTTAGGGTTTAGGGTTTAGGGGGTTTAGGGGGTTTAGGGGGTTTAGGGGTTTGGGGTTTATGGGTTTATAAAGTTTAGGGTTTAGGGGCTCATAGGTTTAGGGTTTTGGGGTTAAGGGGTGTTAGGTGGGGTTGAGGGGTCCTATACTCAGGTGCCTAAACCCTAAACCCTATAATAAGGTGCAGCAAAGGGACCCCTGTGGTGGGCAATGCCCAAAGACTTGACGCAGAAATACGTCCCGGGACTTCAATTTGTGTTGGGGCTTGCAGGGTGGTGGGAGGCCTAAACCCTAACCCCAAACACTAAACAATAAATCCTGAACCATAAGCCCTCAACCCTAACCCCTAAACCCTAAACCCTAGGCCCTGAACCCTAAATACTAAATCCTGGTCTGCGGCCATCCTTAAACCTCGTGAACCCCCCCTACTTGGAAGCCCTTTTGAAGCCCAAGTAGGGTTAACAAGGTGGGTTATGGGGATCACATTCGGGTTTTCTAGGGGATGCTAAGAAGAAATACTAAGCCAAACGAACTTCTGAGCAACCGCCATTCCAAACCCTACCATAAGAACCACAATCCTACTTTGTAGGATAGCCAAGATTCCTTTTACCCTACACCCTACACCCTACACCCTAAACCCTAAACCCTAAACCCAAGTAGGCTTTGGATTCTTAAGGCAGATCCTAGCCCTATGAGCCCTAAACCTCTGTGGTCGCCCACTGAATCCAAAACCTCGAAAAGCTGGCTGGTTCTGAGTAGGGACTGAGGGGATGAGATACCCTATAGAATCCCTTAACGGGTATATATAGGGCCATACATCCCTCATTCCCTACGAAGAACCAGAAGGAAAGCCCAATGCATCTCCAAGCCCAAGCTGCAAATTTGCCACGGTCGTCTCGGCCAGCGTCGTCGATGACCTCTGACAATCCCTAAACCCGAAACACTACAAACCCTAAACCCTAAAAACCCTAAACCTAAACCCTAAACCCGAAACCGCACACAGGGGCCCTTTGGCCTCGGGAGCACCCCCCCCCCCCCCCCCCAGTTTGGGACGCAATTTTCTTCGTTGTTTGGCGACTGTGTATGGCGATCTTAACGGTGTTCAAACATACGGATTTAAGTTTAGGCTTAGAGTTTAGGGTTCAGGGCTTAGGGTTTAGGGGTTGGTTGAAAGGCTTGGTTGCAGGTTCCGGGGTACAGGGCTTCGAAGAGCCCAATTGCAGTCAGCGTTTTCACGAGCAATAACCAAGAATACATCACTGGCAACGCCAGACTGTACTTACTTGTGCACCTCTTTCCCTAAGCCTCTAAGGGTTCTTATCTGAATCTGAAGGTTTTTGGGCCCAAAGGCATTCGTATACAAGGTTCGTAGGTCTGTGTTCAGCCTAAGGGTGGGGGTTCAGTGTTTGGGGCTGAAGTAGACGTGAAGGCTGCGCATGAACTCCGAACCCAACATACCAAAACACTCCCAAAAGCCCTACACCCCAAATCCAAAACCCCAGCCGATGAACCATCAGAAACAGGGTCGATATTACTGTTATTGGTGAGTGTATGTAAGGTTCCTGTTTAAATTTTGGTGGGTATATATATTTGGTGTCCTTTTGGGGGGTACAAGAAACATATACCCTACTTCATATCAGAAACCCGAAACCCCTAACCCTCAACCCTCAACCCTCAACCCTCAACCCTCAACCCTCAACCCTCAACCCTCAACCCTAAACCCTAAACCACTCCCAGTCGGTAACTCTAGACGCCAAACCCTGCCACCCCTACTCCAACAAAACCGGAAACCGGAACCGCAAATCCACAAACCCTAGAACCCTAGAACCCTAGCACCCTGAAATCCTGAAAGCCTAAAACCCTAAAACCTAACCCCCTCCCCCCCCCAAAAAAAAAAAAACGGGATATTGCCTGATCCCTGCAGCATTTAGGGTTTAGTTCTTCGTATCCCCCAAAGGACACGTAAATATGTACACCCTCCCACACTTACAAGGCACCCTGTGTACACTCACCAATAACGGTCACCTGATCATGTGGTCTGAGCTCTGTCTATACCCTTTAAGAGATTATATAGGGTACCTCATTCACCCGTTCCCTACTAACATTAAGCCAAAGAGCCCCCAAAACCCCTGAATAAAGGAATCTCCTCCTTGCAGAACCCCGAACATGCCATAAAGATGCTTGACATGCGGTGCTGTGGGGTTGGCGGTGAACGTGAGGTTTTCTGCGCAAGCCACCCAAATAAACCCTAAACCCTCAAGCCTATAAACCCTAAACCCCTAAGCCCTAAACCCTAACCCCTAAGCCCTAAATCCTGAACTGAAACTGACACCCTAAACCCGGTTTTGAACATCCCCCAGACTCTGCGGAGCTTGAAAATGGCCACCGAAAGTGGTCAACCTGTCTAAGGCCACGCGCAGCTGGCCAAAGACTACAAGGAGGGGCCCCCTTACTATACTAACTAGCTATAGTTCAAGGACTTATAACCTAAGTTACGATCCTTATAATCCAATTTAGGATCCTTATAACTCTACTTATAACTAGGGGGGCCCCTTAGGGGGGCCCCTCCTTGTACTGGGTTTGGGGCAAATCCTAAGCGAGCCTAAACCCTGCATGCCTGAATTCTAAGCCTGAGGGTTGAAGGCTTTGGGGTAAATCATGAGCCTTGTGAAACCTATACATAAAACCTACTCGACGTACCCTGAGCGCTGACCTTCCCTGGGTTTCCCAAGCTACCGCGAACCACAACCTCTATGCCGCGAACCACAGCCTAAACTCTAAACCCGAAACCCTAAACCGTAAACCCTAAACCCTAATCGTTCGACCTTCCATTTATCCAGCTCCTGCCATGAACTCCTTGAAGTCCCGGATGTCATGCTCCACGAAACTAAGGCCCATCCTCTCCTTGGTAGCCCAGTAGCCAGATTCTAATAAAGGCTTAGGGTTTAGGGTTTAGGGCTTAGGGTTTGTAGGATAAGGGGGACCCTTAAAGGCGAGCCCTTCTTAACCCTCTTCTGGCTCTCTTAAACAGGGACCTTAGGTCTATGTCCCCAAGGGTCCCCCTAATCCTATCCCCTAGTAGCCCAGTAACCATATTTAAATAAGGGCACCCCTGTTCTTGGGTTGCTTACTTTGTAAGGGAACCCATAAACCCCCCGAAAAAAAGGGTAAAAGGATACCACTATAGGCTACCAAGTTTCAATATACGCCACTTCGGCAGTCTGAGAGGCGCCCAGGCCGCTGTTCTGCCGAGCTCTCTCCTTTGCAGCATCATCACAAAGCTGATCCCAGGGCACCTTTCCTTGGCCCTTGCGCTCCGCGAAGTAGAACACGTGAAGCTCCTGCCCGAGCTGTGCAGCGAGGTCTAAGTTGCCTTAGCTTTGGAGTAGACCCTGGAAAAAAAGTATACACTTTTTAGGTTTAAGTATAGCTATTATAGCAACCCAGAACCAAAAAACGTATTAAAGTGTAGTACTCCAAAACCCAGTTGCGCTTCCATTCCTCGAACCACTGGCACCCCCAGGGGGCTCGTCCACCTCTCTCGAAGCAAAGCTGCTGGGCCTTCTCGGTGGCCTCTGCAAGCTGCAGCTGCCACTCCACGTCAGACTGGTCACTCTTGATGAGCAAGAGTTGGCCCATGGCTTCGGCATCGCTTCGCTTGAAGGAAACCATCTGCCGGTGTGCTTGGCTATCAAGATGTTCCGGCTCCACCTCTACCACGCTGAGATATGTTTCGGCGGGAACATGGCCGTAGATGCTGTGGCACCAGCACTTTCCTGGGGTGTCTGGATTCTCCGCATGTTGTCCAAGGCCCGAGTCGGCGTCTGTCAAGAACACACATGCCAAAGACCATCGCTCCATTCCGGCAATCTCGGCCTGGGACGTCACAGCTGACACAGCTTCGTCCCAGAGCTCGCTGTACTTGCCTGGAAACGACACGACGCACTTGGCGGCCGTCCGGTTGATATGTCCGGGAAAAGCTATGCGCTTGGACGCGAAGCCAAATCCAGACAGGTCTGCGAGCTGGCGGAAGGCATCCATGGGGCGATTCCATTGCTTTGGCCCAACCATGCCGTTCAGCATCAATGTATTGCAGATTTGAAGGAAGATGTCAACAGTCAGCCATGTCCCCAGCTTCGCATTCGTAGTAGTTGGTCCACTCCTCCACATGACGACAGTGGAATGCCCGTAGCGGAAGTATGCGAAAAAGCTCAGAGATGGTCCCAGAATCACCAGGAGCGCATTCCCCAAGAGGAAAAACGCAGTGGACCTGATGGACTCATCGTCACCAGGGGCCCGCAAAGCGCTGCAAGCCACGATGCACAGGCTGCAACACTGGGTTAATAGAGTCACGAGGCAGCACAGGAGGCTCAGCTGAGCCAGAGAATACACCTTGCTAGCCCAGTAAACATATCCTATTGGGGCACCCTTTTGCTGGTTGGCTACTCTTTAAGGGAACCCATAACCAACAAAAATGGTAAAAAAAGGGTACCGCTGGGCTACCAAGACACAAGAGAAAGGTCATCGTTGCTTATGCTCGCAAGCCGCCGTACGACCACCAAGCCTCCCGAGATCAAGATGGAAACGAAGCCAGTCACGGCCACTGCGTGACAAAACTGGCCCGTGAAACTTCGGCCCAAAGCACGGAGCTTCAGGTTCGTCATGAGAACTTGCATGAAGTTGCATACAACCTCCCACAGCAGTGTACCTACGAGACTCACAAAGCCCGCTGCCCAGCGGTGAGAGGGCGCATATCTCCTCAGCGCGTAGCGAAAACCTTCGTCGGCTATGAAGAAGGCCAGCGAAAAGATCGTGCGGCGACTCCAGATGTGCAACAAGGACTTCTCAGAGAATCGGTCGTTCTTGCAGAGGAAGAAGTAGATCCCGAAGCCAGTCATCACCGGCCGCAGTACAGCATCGCACGTCAAGTGCACGTCATCCCAGCCCACTGCGCAAAGATTGGCAAGGACTCTTAGCGAAGTGTAGGCTGCCAGTGCGAGCCGGCCAGTCTTCGTAAGGCTGACAGGCTCTGAGTGGGTCTCCAGATACTCGCCCAGCTCTGCGAGCGTGGTCCGTCTGCGTTTGGGCCCTTGTGGCTGATGCTTTGCAGCCGCACTGGCCACGAGACTGGCACCTCTTAGGGGCAGCTCCAAGCTTTCCCCCGTGGGGTCTCTGGCAGACATGGCTTTGTTTCCGTTCCCTACACACTAACCCCTGAACCCTGAACCCTGAACACTAAACCCTAAACCCTGAACCCTAAACCCTAAACCCTAAACCCTTAACACTAAACCCTGAACCCTGAACCTTAAACCAGGTCGGCAGTGACTGATGTCGCAGCGTAGAGGCCGCGCATGTTGCCCAGGGGAACCATGGCGGATCCAAGGCAGCCGCGCAACGAAATAGGGTTCAGAATTTGGGTGTCAGGGTTTAGGCTTATAGGGCTTATAGGGCTTATAGGGTTTAAGGTTTAGAGGTTTAGGGTTTAGGGTTTAGGGTTTAGGGTTTAGGGTTTAGGGTTTAGGGTTTAGGGTTTAGGGTTTAGGGTTTAGGGTTTAGGGTTTAGGGTTTATAAGAGTCTAGGGTTTGGGGTATGGTCAAAGTGTTCCGTGGGAGCTGCTTCTCGAAGCCAGAGCATGGCATGGACTGGCAGGGTTGACCCAAAATTCCCCTCACCAATAAGCTGAGGGTTAGGGTTTAGGGTTTAGGGTTTAGGGTTTAGGGTTTAGGGTTTAGGGTTTAGGGTTTAGGGTTTATAAGAGTCTAGGGTTTCTACACAGCTTGCGCTGCAACAAACTCCGTCTCTATGGACTGTTGGAGTGAAGTGCTCTTCTGGACACGCTAAAAAACGAATATTCCAACGCCTCCAAGTGATTCTACAGGAGGCGCTTGAGAGCCCAAGTCCCGACACCCTAAACGCTAAACCCGATACCCTAAGCCGTAAGTCAAAACCCTATTTAGGTACATGGGCCCCTTAGGGTTTAGGGTTTAGGGCTTAGGGTTTAGGGCTCAGGGTTTTCATAAGAGGGTTTGCTTGGCAGAAACAGCTTCCAGCGAACCCGGGGTGGCCCCCCTGAAGCTCCACGGTTGGTAGGGGCCCTTGGGGGGTTTAGGGTTTAGGGTTTAGGGTTTAGGGTTTAGGGTTTAGGGATTATATACGGGGAATATAAGGTCCCCTTTTAAGGGCCCATACTATAGGGGACCATGTCGCTACCCTAAGAGAAGCCCTGAGACCTCAAGCCCAGGGGTTGGCGTGTGGGAGGTTTGGGAGGCTTCCTAACACTAAGAAGCTCTACGGTTCAGGGCTTAGGGTTGAGTGGGGGACCCTAAACCCTAAACCCTAAACCCTGAACCCTAAACCCTAAACCCTAAACCCCAAAACCCTAAACCCTAAACCCTAGACCCTTCGACTGCCGCCCGCCGGCCGTCTTCACGCGCTCCGCGTAGAGGATGTCGCAGATGGTGGAAACTCCCAAGCCTACAGGCGTTTCGGGTTGAGGGCACAAGGGATAAAACTGGGTTCAGGGTTGGGGGTTTAAGGCTTCGGGTTTAGGGTTTAGGGTTTAGGGAAGGGGGCAAAAAATGTTCAGGTTTAGGGTTTGGGATCTATATAGGGTTGAGGGTTTAGGTTGTTTGTTTGAGCCATATAGGACTTTAGAGGGCTAAAGTCTTCAGAGCTTGTAGGGCGTAGGGCGTCTATGGGCGTTGGGATGTGGGCTAGCAATGGGTTTCGAAAACCTAAACCCCAAACCCGAAACCCCAAGCCCTAACCCTAATTTAGGGCCTGCAGGGCCTAGTACATCCTACAAACACTTCAGGTTTAGGGTCTAGGGTTTCGGGTTCTGAACCCTAAACCCTAAACCCTAAACCCTAAACCCTAAAACCCCCAAAATACCAGAGGCCGGGCCTTGTTCATGCCGCTGGCCGTTGATGGTTGCATCGTTGACGAGCAGAGCAGGATAGATCCCGATCAGCCTCAGTGGGAGCTCAAAATAGCCCTGAACCCCAAATCCTAAACCCTAAATCCTAAACCCTAAACCCTGAACCCCTAAACCCTAAACCCTAAACCCTAAACCCTCAACCCCTATACACTAAACCCGGGTTCGTGCTTGGGACGTTTATGGCTTAGGGTTTAGGTTTAGTGGGGTTCGAGGGAGCCAAGCATTCAGGGAATTTAGGGAACCCCTCCGCCCCCAACAGAAGCCCTTTTAAACAGGGACGCCCAAGTGAGACCCGACCTATAGAGTTTAGGTTTTAGGATTTCGGGTTGAGGTTTTAGGTTTTAGAGTTTAGGTTAGAGTTTAGGACAGTCACGTTTATACACCCTGAAAGAACTGGAAGAGTTGCCACCAACCACAAGGGAAGATTTGCCACACAACCATTGCATTGATTCCCAACCATCCGCTGACTCCGCGTTTAGGAACCATGCTACTTCTGAAGCCTCTCATCCCCTGTCTGTATAGTCACTCCCTGTTCCTCTCACTGCCTCTCGCGCATAAGAACATGCCTCAAGCCCTATAAGCCCCCAAAGCCAGCATCCTCGAAATCCTGCAGGCCTTGCGAAGCGCACACCCTAAGCCCAACACCCTTCAACACCCTTAAGCCACGAGCCCTAAACCCTAAACCCTAAACCCTAAACCCTAAACCCTAAACCCTAAACCCCAACATCCCCAACCCCATGACCTGCTTGAAGAGTCTGGCGGCTCCAGTGCCTTCTCGCGAGAGGAGATGGCGGCCAAGCGACCTTTGCAGGATTTGTGGTTGCAGATGGGTTTAGGGTTTAGGGTTTAGGGTTTAAGGTTTAAGGTTTAGGAAGCTCAAGACCCCCCCCCCCCTAAACCAGGGCTTGTGTTTTAGGGTTTGGGACTTCCGGCTTCGGGCTTAGGAGTTGTTTTCAATGGGTGGAGGTTTACCAGGGGGGTAACCTCTGCACTCTCACAAGAAACGCAACCATTTACAATCTCTACCTTGGTTAAACTAGAGCACCCAGAGGTTCTCCTACACCCCAAGCCCGCAAACCCTAAAACCCTAAAGCCCTAAAGCCCTAAAACCCTAAAACCCTAAAACCCTAAAATCCTAAACCCTAAAACCCTAAAACCCTAAAACCCTAAATCCCTAAAACCTAAAACCCTAAAAGCCTAAAACCCTAAAACCCTAAAACCCAAAACCCCAAACCCTAAACCCTACGAGGGAAATCGCACCTTCATGTCTTTAACTTTGCTCAGGGGAGAGGCCGACTCAAGGTAGGGCCTTAGGGTTTTGGGCCCAAAGGCCTTCTTATGTGAAGGTTGAGGGTGTAAGTTCAGGGTTTTGGGTACTCTCATTTTGGGTTTTTTTGGCCCAAAAGGCCTTCTGATATAGGCTTTTGGGGCTATGTTGATCCTAGGTTGTAAACCCGAAATTGTTGGGTTTCTCTGAGGGTTGAGTCCCTAAACCCTGAACCCTAAACCCTAAACCCTAAACCCTAAACCGTCTTTAGGTTCGAGGGTTTAGGAGTCCGCGGCTTGCGCCAAGCCGCTCAAGACCTCTGCAACGTCGTCTGATTCCACGAGCCTTGGGCAGGAAACCCGAAACCCTCTAATGTTCCAGCTTGGACACAAACGTGCAGTCAACGGCCCACGATCTCTTGCACACCATCTAGATGCCTTGCTGCTTTCTTCACTTAATGTCACCTAATCCCAAAGGATCCATGTACCTATATAGTATATACTTGTTGGGTTTAGGGTTTAGGGTTAGGGTTTAGAGTTTAGGGTTTAGGGTTTAGGGTTTAGGGTTTAGGGTTTAGGGTTTAGGGTTTAGGGTTTAGGGTTTAGGGCCTATATAGTATATACTTGGGCCTTTAAAGGAGTTCCTATATAGTAGCTCTAGGGCCCTAGAATATACTATATATGTACATGGATCCTTTGGGAATATAGGGGTCGGAATCATTACTAGCAGTATTCCCTTATGGTCCCTTTATGAATATACCACCCCCCAAAACCCTACCTGAATTATTCAGGCCCCTGTATTAGACCCTCAGGGACTTGTTGAATGGCCATTGAGGGCCAACGATGCACCCCAAACGTTGAGGACTTGAAGACTCAAGACTTGGGGCTGGGTTTAGGGTTTAGGGTTTAGGGTTTAGGGTTTAGGGTTTAGGGTTTAGGGTTTAGGGTTTAGGGTTTAGGGTTTAGGGTTTAGGGTTTAGGGTTTAGGGTTTAGGGTTCAGGGTTGAGGGTTTAGGGTTTAGGGTTTACGGTTTAGGGTTTAGGGTTTAAGGTCTAGCATTCAGGGTTCAGCATCTCATATCGCTGGTCAAGAACTTTGTCAAGTGTTGGAAAAGATCCACCCAGAGAATCCCAACATAATATGAAGAAGATACAAAGTCAGCTTCTCCCCTTCTCTATGTTTTACAATCTGACATGAGGACTGGAGATCTCTAAACAATTGCAACATGCAGCACTTTCTGTTTGTGCGGAATCCTCCTTATGCTGACACCCAACAATCCTTAAATCTGAAAATGCTGGCATTGACCGAAACTTAACAGGACGCCAACACCGACTGACCGAAACTTGCGCAACACGGTGGACCGAATGATTTGAACACGGCTTGGGATTTAGGGTTTAGGGTTTAGGGTTTACGGTTTAGGGTTTACGGTCAGGGCTTTTGGATTTAGGGTTTGAGCTTTGCAGGCTTGTGTTTAGGATGAACGATTCAGGGGCTCAGGGTTCAGGGCTTTGATTTAGGGTTTAGGGTTTAGGGTTTAGGGTTTAGGGCTTCGGGTTTCGGGCTTAGGGTTTAGGGTTTAGGGCTTGGGATGATGGACTTCGGGCTTGGCGGTCCGAGCGTTTGCCTTTTAAACCCTGCGAATGTTTCGAAGCTCTTGAGAACGGGCAGCTATGCCTGACATGTCGGCTACTCACTTACATTGCTTGAGGTTCAGGGCGGGTGTGGGTTTAGGGTGAAGCGGTATCTACGCAAACCGCAAAACCGACTCCCTTAGCTACCTCCTGCCATGCTACAGAGGTGTAACGTCCGTCTTGACGATCTCCAGCGCCTGTGGCACTACACCCAAATCCCAAATCCTGAGCCCCAAAGCCTGAACACTCAACCCCAAAGCCTACACCCGATTCCCGAATTCCGAAACCCAAAAACCCAAACTCCAAACCCTGAACCCTGAACCCCATACCCTGGACACCTCCAAAGC